TAGATATTCACAGACTGATCTCAGCCGAAGCCGGGTAATGGCCCCGGTATCTCAAATGATCGCAAATGTTCTCAAATGTTCTTAATGATTTGTACAATTCGATACGGGACGCTGGGCCCGGTTCCCAGCACGTGCTGCTCCCCACGAATAGATTGGAGCATTTGCTTTCAAAAAAAAAAAAAAAAAAAAAAAAAAACAGTGGACACCATCTGCCGCCAACCTGTTCTCGCAAATGAGGCTGCACGTCCTCATGCAAGCCTGGAGAGCAAGGTGCTCCTTTGAGAGAAAAGACCATCAGGTCGGTCTGCAGCAACCCCAACAAGCGATTGAAGAAGAGATCAGGCCCAGCACACAGCAGGCCTGGAAGGCTATGAAACAGGACTACCATGACGAGAGAGACCCCGTTCTCAAAGAGGCTTTGCGGGAGTCGATCTGGCAGGATCCACACATTGTCTTCTCAGAACTACTAGATGACCTCAACATACAATGGAAAAACTGGAGGGTGAACGAGCCCTCGTGGCAAAGGGGACTCTGGATGACTTTGAAGTCCCGTACCTCCCGACCAACTTTCTGCTGATCCCTTAGAACCTCGGTGGCACAATGGCCCTGCCCCGCCCTCCAGTAACCCCCCACCCCCAACCCCCCTCCTCCGTTCAGCTACCCTTGCCGTCATCTCTTGCCTCCCTTCCGCTTCCCTCGTTGTCATTTACCTCCTGGGTCCCCTCCATCCGCTCATCCATTGCCACCTGTCCACCTCTATCGCAGCTGCAGGGACAACGGAACCCCTGAAGGCCACTGTGAACAGCAACCGGTGCAAGGACAAGAGAGATTCCCGGTACCACAGCCAGATACAAATATGGACATCCTGAAAACAACAGCCACAACATGAAGGAAGAAGCCTGGAGCAGGGGTGTGACTTGTACCTGACACGACGAAAGACAGCAGAAGATCTCCACATGGAGCAAGGCCGCTGTGGAGGAAGGAAGACAGGGGAAGCAGGTTAATCAATTGTCACCATTCCGGACAGACACAAATCATGCCCCGGCCCAAGTGCTTAGCTAGGATGAGAAATTGCCCTGAAAGATAACTCGCGGGCCCGGTGCCTCTACTTCCTTTTACTTGATTTGCTTACCACTACTTGCAACTAAAATGACAGAATTGGGGCTGAGGGTTTAGGGGTTTAGGCAACAACCCCAAGTACCCCCACATGCCAAAGTACCAGGAGGGCTCACGACAGATCAGGCGCTCAGCGGATGAGTGAAGAGGTACAGAAGGCTCAACTGCTCACAGAAGGGAACTAACAATGTCTAACGTTGTTTGACAAGCTCGTGTTCCAAAGGGTGGGGGTAGGGGAACAGGAGGTTTACTTGCCTACATGCACTGGGGTTCATTCATAGGCAATGGTTCCTGGCTCCAAGATTGAATGAAAATAGCAGCCATGGGACTCGGTTATACTGCCGCCTAAACTAAAGCTGTCATGTAGGTAACCAATGTAGGCTACTGAGTAGTTGTATAGCCCCACTTGCCAAACTTCCTTCCTAGAGGATGGGCCATGCAGCCACCAGTCGCCACAATCAGATGTCTGTATAAACAACCAAACATGATGTTCAGGGACGCTGGACCCGGTTTCCGGCAGGTGCTGCTCCCCACCAATAGACGGACCCTTCACGAGAGTGATAGTGGTGTCTGCTCCTATCAGCATTCCTATCACCGCCTCAGGATGTTCTTCGGGAAAAAAAAAAAAAAAAAAAGAAGAAGAAGAAGAAAAGAAAAGAAAAGAAAAGAAAAAGAAAAAGAAACGCATCCCCTATTCAAGACCTTGAGCGACCATTCGGTGGAGATTGTCTGTTTGATTATGAACTTGGTTTCCGCTCTGATCATTGGTGGTGTCAGTCTTTCCCCACGTTGAAGTGCCGAGTTCAGAAGTGACCAAAGAGGCAACAAAACTGCTGCTTGTAGAGTCTCTTCTGCATATGTTAGCGCCAAGTTAGCCTGTTGCCTGCATGTCAGTGCGTCCAGCAGCACAGATGCATCAGTCCAGTGGGATGCTGGCTGGGGGATGGGGACGGAGCCCGAGCGCCAGCAGTCCCAGAACGGCCTGGAAAGCTCACAGTATGTTGGAAATATCAATCAAATATGTAATTCCATGGGCCAATTGAACTACTAGTACACCTAAGCCTCTTTTTTCCTACCCTCAGTGCTGCCGCACCCCCCCCAAAAAAAAAACAACGCGGGCCCGGGACAATTTTGGTGTTTCTGGTTGGCATCACCAGTCATTTTGGTCCATTAGGGCAAGCCCCACATCACACAGCATGCATAACACCGAAACAACTAGTTGTGAAACTACTGTGGTTTAATGGGACTCTGCACCCGGTTCCCAATATACCTGATGCACCCAGTCTCTGGGCAAATTTCTGAGGTGCCCACCCGGTTTCAATTTTTTGTGATAAGACTCATTTTCCCAACAACAAAAAAAAAAAAACTCTGAAAATAAGGTCGCCTGCATGAGTGAAGTGATTTTCCACCAACTTGAATGAAGTGATACTGTGGGGAAAAAAAAAAAAAAAAAAAAAAAAAAAAAAAAAAAAAAAGAAGAAGAAGAAGAAGAAGAAGAAGAAGAAGAAGAAGAAGAAGAAGATCCACAGCCAGTACCTCTAAGTTTATACAGAGGCCGGTTCCCTGTACGAACCTAGATGGATGGTGCTTGGTCGACTGGGGGGGTCATGAGCCCGATGTCTTGTGCCACGATAGGATTGCAGCTCGCACTGCTCTGGAGCACCTACAGTTGGCTGGCTGGGATTAGATATGTGCCTGCTGTCTGCAGGTGGTGGGCGACAGTGCATTCACCCACTAGGGTCAGGCACCCCTTTGGGGGGATGGCCCGATAAGTTGTACCTGTTTGGGGTAGGCAGTTCTTGATGAGAACGTAAGGCCTGCTCGCAGCATCTCAGGGGGACAAAGGGTGATGCCTGCGCAACTGGGTACCATAAAGGTCTCCTAGTGCAGGATAGTCTCGACCGTTAACCCTGAAGGTGAGGTGGGTTCGTACCTGCCCTCTTGAGCTGAAATGCCAACCGCGCTACCCTGATGGTGTACAATCTTTCTTTAAAAAAAATAAAAAAAATATGGAGGGGGGCCCGCTCCCGAGTCCTGATATTTTAGACTGCCAAGTTTGTTTGTCAGCAGTTCTTTTAAGGAGGAATGATCCGGCAGTAACCTAGTGGAGGGCCCACAAAAAGACAACGGCCTCAAGCATCTTCTAGCTTGGCCTCTCAGACACTCAGAAAACGGTTTGGTCTGGACCTAGCAAAAATCTGTTGGGCCTACCGGTAGCAAGCCGAACCCAGAGGTGCATGTATATACATACACATGTACATATCCATACCCATTTACACTATGCACAAGCACCAGTGCATAAGCAGAGACCTCATTTATTAGGGATGGATTTAACTTGGCGCAAGCAAGCCTGTACATCCACGAACCAGCCAGAGGGCTAACTGGTGCTTGCTTTTGCACTGGTGCATCAGCCACCAGTACACAGCCATACATCGGCTTTGGGCCCCCCATTGTGACTTTCATAGGCCGGAAACACGACAAAGGCCGTTGATGAAATATATCAACGGCAGCCCGGTCCTGAGATTTTCAGAGTAAGCGACGAGTCTCTTTTCTGCAAGGCTTGGGCCATGTATTAGCGGTTTAAAGCACCAGTACATGGGCACCTGGGCCGCGGGCCTGACACCTCAAATTCTGGAGGCGCAAAACTAACACGCAACCGCCGATTGAATTTATCAACGGCGGGCCCAGCGTTTGATGTTTCGGCCTCGTTTTCTTGTGGCGACAAGTTTCAGACTGCAAGGTTGGGGTCTTGTACTAGTGGTTTAAGAGTCAGATCTGTGCCACTCTTTTGGTATTGGGTGCGAACTTGCAATGAATGAAACCTAAGACAGAAGGCAAATCAAATGATTCACCTCACGTGTTATAACCACTAAAGTAGATTTCTGTATGAATGAGGCTCCAAATTTGGAAATGAGATTGAACTACATGTACACCAATTTGGTCTCTTGTACGTACTGTGTAGTGTATTCTGTGGAATTTAGCCTAGCGGCTCAATTTTGAGTCCTCAAAATTGATCGTATATGTTTTAATTGATAATCATAATACACCAAAACTCATATTTGAGTTGATGAACCCCACAAATTACACTTTATGCTCCAAGGAAATACGTACAAAAGACAAAATCAATATACACGAAGTTTATGGTAGGGCGTAGGAACTCCTTTGGGAATAGTATTGGATCTTTTTTTTTTAATACTCTTTTAGTGGATCTAACTATGTAGGATGGGAGAAAGTTATGTCCTTCCCTCTGGAAAACGGAACCTCATAGCACCTCTCGAAATAGACTTTGACTGATTGAATGAAGGTTTGGATAAAACCATCACTATGATTGTGTTGATACGAGTGTGATCATACACTTAACTGATATACAATTTACGCAAAGTAGGACGACAAATCACCATGAAGGAATTTGGTTGATGTATTGGAATTGCCAATAAAGATACGAGATGGCGTGTTGTGGGATGCTAACTATCGTTGTTTTGAATCTTGGCTAGTATGTGATAGGATGTAGTTGGTCAAAATGAAGGAATTTGTTTAAATTACTTTTTTTTTTTTTTTTTTTTGAACAATTCCACCGGTGTTAGTGATGCTGATAGGAGCAGACACCACTAACACCTGGGGAGAGGCTCCATCTATTGGTGGGGAGCGTCACCTGCTGGAAAACGGGTCCAGCGTCCCATATACAGCYAATGATACTGTCTGAAAACCATGACCAGTAACTGTGAGATCCCCTAGTCTGTGCCTCTTCACCCTCCAAAGAAGGGCGCCATCTAAAGCTGATAAGGCCTGTTGTTTAAACTACTTTATTACTTAATCAGTTAAACCACCAGTACTTGGGCGACGCCTTAGCGTTAACGCTACACGATTTCCGCTGCCGGCGGGCCGTCGATAAATCGAATCGACAGCCCGCGCTGCTTCGAGATTTGGGCGGCCGGCGTGGCGCGCAGTGCCCAAGTACTGGTGGTTTAATAATTTGTAGTTGATGAGGTATGTGATGTTATTTAGGCATGTGATTGCGGGATAAATTAGTTTACATCATTTTTTTCCCGTAGAATGTGACAATTGTCATACCCTTGAATTATAGTGCTTTGTTGTGACTCGTGAGGTATATTCCTTTGGTGCATGATAAAACTGTTATGAGGCGCCTTGGTAGGTGGTGAAAGGCCTTAGGGGAACCAAACCTTACTACACTACTACTTTTCAGCACAAGTACGCAATATGTGGCCCGAAAAGAACTGTAAACTTTTTTTCTTCAATTGGATATATTAAACTGCGTAGCATTCTGTGACCGAACGCGAACGTTCAGGACCGAACGCGAAGGGGTCCCAAAACCCACTGAACACAAACTTTTTTTTTTATATATAGGGGGCTGGGGGGGGCTGG